CTCCGGCCTGGTGAGGCCCTTCTTCGCCCTCTGTAGGTCAGGAATCGCGGGGAGAAGGGGTTTTCCTGCTGCTGCTCTCAAGTTTGATGTGAGTAAGGTGAGAGCTAGAGGGTGGAAATCCTGCCTGGGGTGAAAGGAGGGTGAAACCCATCCTTCTCGGGAGAGATAAAGGGGGTGTGTGTGGGGAGAGATCTATGGTGGTTCAGCCTCATGGTTTCCAGCTGTTTTGGGGAGCTCTTCAGCCCCTTTCTTTTCTTACTTTAGCCCCAGGAGGGTGGGAGTTGAGCCTTCTTTTTCCAAAGCAGCAAAAACATCTCTGCTGCGCTGCCAAGATCTGCCCGAGGCCCCCAGAGACAGATTTTGTGTTCAGGTACGCTCTGCCAGTGTTTGTGTTACCAGTTATCCCTGAGCAATGGCCAGGGCAAAGGAAACAGCCCTGGTGTTAATTTGCACAGTCCCGAGCGTCTGCAAGCACGCGCACACACGGTCACCACGAGTTCCCTGTAAATGCCCCGACCTGACTGAAGGTGCTGCTGTTTCGTGTTCCATTGAAACTGGACTGGCACTGGGGATAAATGTCATTTTTGGAAGGCGCAGCTCCGAAATAGCAGCTAACACCTGCTCTGGAGCTGGATGAGAAATGGCCAGGACGCCAAGTGCACTTTGCCGCGCTGGCCAGGAGCACAGCGAGATCCTGGCAAAGGGTCGCTGCCAGTTAATGCCCCTCTTAATGCCTGGGACATTAACATCTCACCGGGGAGCTGGTCTTAGGCGTGGGTTAGGGTGAGGTGGTTTGGTTTGGGTTACCAAGGGTGTTGGCTCTTTAGAAATGGAAAGATGTCACGCGGGCTTTGTCGTGACCTGTTTTGTTTTTTTTCCATCCTGATGGTGTATGTTATGAGTGCGTGAGGTTTCCACGCTCTGGGTTTAAAAGCCCCTCTCCCCAGATGTTTCCGCACTAAATCACAAGTTTCTTTTGCAGAAGCAGAAATTGAGGTCAATATGCAAAAGCAAATACGTGTGAAGCCGATGTTTGGCCGGAGAAAGGCTCTGAAAGTGGATGGGAGAGACTGCAGGGCTCACGGCTGCATCCGTGCGAAAAATAAACACTTGCTACTGTGTCTGCAGCCTGAACTGGGTTAAGTCGTGTTCAGCTCTTCCCTGTGTGGCTGCCAGTTCTCTGGATCCTTTTTGTTTCAGCTCCTCCCCATGGTGGGAAGCTGAGCTGGGATGCTGCTTGTGTTGAGCTGCTCTGCTAACAGCTATTTATCAAAAACTTTGTTGAAACGCCCAAGTCATTCTTGCTGGCGTGAAGGAAACTTCACGTACGCTTTTAAAGAGTGAGAAGTTGCAATCCCTTGGCCATCTCCTCTTGTCATAGTGTCTCTCTGGGGATGTGTATTAGCTGTTAGATGAGCCATGCAGTAAATCCCTTCCTCTTCTTCCACAGGCCTGCTCTTCCCTTGCTGCTCCCGCTGGTGATGGTCTCAGTGTGGAGAGGGTGCTTGTTCTTGCTGTGCTTCCAGGCTCTGTGCAGAGCAGGGTTAGAATTCTTCTGAGGCATCTCCACAGTCCCCTCAATTTATTGCTTTTTCCTCTTGCCCTGGTATGTCACAGATGTGTTCCCGTAGTCCCTGAGGCTCCCGTTCTCACAGTCCCCTCAGTGCATGTTAACATTTTTTTCTATGAGAAACATGAGGAAAAACCTTTATACTATGAAGGTGCCAGAGCCCTGGAACAAGCTGCCCAGAGAGGGTGTGGAGTCTCCTGCTCTGGAGACTTTCAAACCCGCCTGGACGCGTTCCTGTGGGGCTGCCCTGGGTGACCCTGCTCTGGCAGGGGGTGGCACTGGATGGTCTCTGGAGGTCCCTTCCAACCCCAAACGTTCTGTGGTTCTGTGACCCAGGTAGTGTCCAATGCTTAAAAGAACCTTTCCCTTTGAAAGGAGGGGGGGATGATGAAAAGAGGAGCAAAGAGCAAACATTTGGTACTTCTCTTCGGTTACCACTGAGGCTTTTCTGCGAACTTCTCCCGTGAGTAGGTAGGTTGATGTCATTGTGTTGTCTAAGCACAAAGGCAGAATATGCGACGCTTGTGCCAGCCCGTGATCTTCCGGTAAAGCCTTTACTGGTGTAAACTCCCTGTTCCCTTCTGGAGATTTTTCTCTGTTGAAATGCCCCTGCACATTGTATCGTCACCGTGACGGAGCAACAGGGCTGGGGTGATGCTTGGGTGTGGCTCAGATCAAGCTCTGGCAGCTCACATGGAGCCCAGAGCCATGGCTGAGTTTATTCCCATGCTCTGAAAGTTGGGACTTTCAGAAGTAACAAAACCCCAGGTCAGCACGTGCGTGGCTACGCTTCCCTGCTGCTGTTTGCTGGGAAAACCAGCCGCTCGGCACGGGAAGCTGTTAACCACTTGGTCTGTCGTGTGGGAAAGTGGTGTTTGTGATGGATGACCTGTCAGGTGGGAGGGTTTGGGCCCTTTCTGGCACTTGGTGCTCAAACGAAAGCTTGCGCAGGAAAGAATCCTTCACTGGGCTAAGCCTTAGGAGGCTGGGATTTTGTGTCTAGTTCCGTGCTGCCTCGCTGGAAGTTTGGTTTTACCGAACCTGCAAATTGAGGGTTAGGTACAGTTGTAATTAGTTAATTTCTTTAAATGCTGGTCGCGCTGAGTTAGGATGGCACCCTAAATAGCCACTACTTAGTGTCCTAATATTACTGATGTATGAAAACTATTTTGTAATATAAGTTAGGCTGGTTTTTAGGGTTGGGGAGGCTGCATAGGGAAGGGTCTCTGTCTCCTGTTCCATCCAGGCAGGGCCTGGCCCGCCAGGGATGCAGCAGTCTGAAGCATAAACATTAATAATACAGTGGATATTATTCAAATGAAGGCTGCCACTTTTCCTTTGTGGGAATAAACCCCTGGGTAATTGCTGCCCATACTTAATCTGTTCCTATAATTGCTTTCTGCAGAATCACTTCAAAACAAGAGCTGCAGGCAGGATGCTGGTCTCCTTGCTCTTCCCTCGAGTGTGCCGGCCCCTTCGACGCCTCGTCTGGGACTTGCCCCGGTGCCGGTGGGGACTGCGGGGGCAGAAGAGGGCTGGCTGTCCCCACAGGGGTCTGCGAACCGCGAGGACGACCTGCAGCAGCGACGTTACCCCGGTCTTTGCTAGAGCTTTGGCTTTTGGCGATAAAGTCGCAATCGTTGACCAAAATGGTGAGCACACTTACAGGGACCTGCTCAGCCAGAGTCTCCGCTTGTCCCGGGAGATCTGTAGAGCTCTGGAGTGCTCCAGCGGGGACTTGAAGGAAGAGAGGATCTCGTTTTTGTGTCCCAACGATGCCTCGTATGTGGTGGCCCAGTGGGCTTCCTGGATGAGCGGGGGCATAGCGGTGCCCCTTTACAAGAAACACCCCGTGCAGGAGCTGGAGTACGTGATTCAGGATTCCCAGAGTGCTCTAGTCCTCGCAGCGGAGGAATATGTGGGGAAAATAGCCCCTAGCGCTGAGAAGCTGGGAGTTCCGGTTCTGCCGCTTCTTAGGGCTCGGGGCGATGGATCAGTGAGTCCTGCAGAGGTGGAAGCGGGTCCCTTGACAACCTGCTCCTCGTGGAACGACAGAGGAGCCATGATCATCTACACGAGCGGGACGACGGGAAGACCGAAAGGTGTCCTCAGCACCCACGAGAACGTGCAAGCCGTGGTGAGTGCTGCTCTCCCTCTGGTCTTGGCCTTCAGAGATGATTTAGGGTTGCAAACCCCAAAGCACAGACACACTACACCCAAATTCCTCCACAGAGCTGCATCTTTGAAGTCCTCAACACTTTAAGGTGGACACGCAGAAGAGTGTTTGAGGCTTTAAACCTCGTCCTTGCGGTGTTGCTGTGCTGCAGCTAGGGGCAGGTGGGCTCTTCTCCCTGCTTTCCTGGAAAGCACAAGGATTGAGACCTGTTGTAAAAAGAGTGTTTTCCTTGCAGTTTCCTTTTCCTCGCTGTGACTTGAAAAGAATCTCTGCCCTTAATTGGAGTATAACTTAGCCCAACCCGGTACGGCGCGGCGTGAAGTCTGTGCATTATTCAGCTCTATGTCCCCAAGGCAGAAAATCCATTAGCTCTCTGAGCCAAAAGGAATTAAAAGTTTGAACGAGCCTGCCGACTGCCTCACCAGTTGGTTTTCGCTGCCTGCAACCAGCTCATGCCATTAGGGGGGGGAAAAAGGGCAGGGAATACATCGTGCCGTGTGGGTGCCTCCGAGAATTCACGTCATTCTGGGTGCTCAGATGCTTGCAGTGTTGGGAGGGCTATGAAAGCCTTGACGGATAGAGCCAGGCCTGAGCTATATTGGACAAAGAATCTCTTCCCTTACAAATATGCTGATCATTTGGGAGGCGTCCGGAGCAGTCACCGTCTTTTGTGCTCTCCTGCAGAAAGCCTAAAACCTGCTCCCTGCCCTGTGGAAGAGGGTTGTGAACAACGTGACTAAATGCCGCTGTTCAAATGCTTTTTTTTTGCTTTTTTTTTTTTAAATTTAAAATTAGATGGCTGGAAGTAAGCTTTCCAGTTGCTAACGCCGTGCTCTGAAGGGCATTGTTCACCCAGAAAGCCTGAGGTCTAACACTTTAGATAATTATCCCTTCATAGCAGAGTGGTTTAGAAGCTCGATATACTAATATATTTTTTTTTTTATGAACATGAAGCCTACTTTCACCTTATCAGGCAGCAATTTTCCTGCTCCCAGTGCCTATCCCTCACAGGTGCTAAAAGGTCAGTGCCAGCAGTGTCCAAACTGTGTCAACAGAGTTCTGGGAAAATTAGTATTTTTGATTACTATTCCTGCATGTGCAGCACCAGGCTGGTAATTTTTTAGGTCCTACTTTACGAATTGTTGGCTATTTCTTTCTCAGTCATAAGGAAGGACTTGGATACGTATGAAGACACGTACTAACAAGATGCAGAAGGTGCTCCTCTGCTATCTTGCTGTTGTGGTAGGGCTTTTGCTCCTGCTGACCCCAAAAGAAAGATTTTTTTTTGGTGCCCAGGCATTGTTCCAGGAGCTCTGGGATTTCTGCTGTGCCCAGAGGATCCGCAACCTGGGTACCTTGAGCTTTTCAAGCACCGAGAGTCTTTCCTGCTGCCCTAACTCTGCATTGTGTGTTTTCTTCTGCAGACCACGGGCCTGGTTGAAAAATGGGAGTGGAAGAAAGAGGATGTTATTCTGCACGTGCTGCCTTTACACCACGTCCACGGCGTGATCAATAAGCTCCTCTGTCCTCTCTGGGTGGGAGCGACGTGCGTCATGTTACCCGAATTCAGCGCGCAGGTGGTAAGCCCAGAGCGTTGTCCTTGAAATTCGGCAGCAAGACCCTGTGCATTGTAATTAGAGTGACTTTTAGAAATAAGTTCTTAAAGAATTCTGGCCTCTCTGACCGTGAGAGGTTCACAGTCTGTTAAAAAAACAACACGCTTTCAGCTGGACGCTCAGTCTGGGTTAAATGTGCTCTTCTGGAGGCTACAGCTTGTTTAAGCACTGCCCCTCCTCACAGTGTTGAGGGTCTCTGGCTGGAGGCGGGATCCTCTGCATACCCACCGAGAGTGTCTGCACCTAGAATGAGGTTCTTGGTTTTGTAGTACCAGGGAAGGTAGAAATACCAGCTTTTCCTCTTGCACATTAGTGCTATGTGCAGGGTTATGCTCCTCACTGGCATTTTTAGTAACTTGCATTTTTCCCTTCCAATCCTGTGTCCTTGGTGTTTTGTGTTATGTTACAGAGCACAGGCTTTACAGTTTCTTGCAGGGCAGGTAAGAGAAATGACTGGTACTCATCCCTTGTGTGGAAACATACCTCTTCCTCTGCGGAGAAACAAGCGTTAACGGATCTGTAGGTTTAGGCTCGATGACGTGAGAGGGACTTGGCAAATCGAGAGCTTCTTGTAGGAGAGGTGGCAGGAGAGAAACCTTTCTTGAATGCAGTAGAGATGTACTTATAATGCTGTTTTCTCGTGACAGGAAACACAAGTCCCTGTGCTCTGCTTCTATTTTTGGTTCCTTGCCACGGTGGCAGACAACTGATCTGGTGAGATGAAGAAAAGGGACTAGAAACATGGGAATGAACAGTAAGGTGGAATAGTTTCTGCAGTTACCAGCCCCTGGGATCCAGCAGCGTTCGTCTGGGTCTCCCAGTGCTGTGGTCACTGTGGGAGATGCTGGAGCCTGTGGGGTCGCTGTTAGGGGAGCAACTGGGTTTTCAGGTGCTGCCGCCACCTTGTAGCAGAAAGGAAACGTGCGTTGTCGGTGCAGAACTCCCTGGGAAAGCGAACAGAGCCCCTCAAGCCTGAGCTTTGGAGCTAAACAGGCTGCTTTACCTGCTCCTGGTTATTCATATGATGGGCAGCGTTGTCACCCAGAAAGGACAGAGGGTGAAGGTGTAGGATACTCCCAGAAGCCTTTGACTGTGCTGCTGGCAGGCAAGGGCGAGCCCCGGCTCCGATCCGAGCGACTGCAGGACCGTGTGATTCTTCCTTGCTCTTGTTTCTGCCTTGCAGAGAAGCAACCACAGAAAATGCACGCTTCCTTTCTTGTTTCAAGACGGCCCTGACACCTGAGCACCCTCTTGCTCCCCGAGCACCCATCGTTTCGTGAGGCAACAGCCCCAAGATCCCAGAGGGGCGGCTCTGTGCTTCCAGGGTTGAATAAGTAGGATGCTGTGGCAGGAGGAGGCAGGAAGGTCTGTAGCCAGTGCTTTCTCCCCGGTCCTCACTGCTAAATTGTTTTCCCCCGTCTTTAGGGTGTCACCCCAAAAGCTCAGGGCGCAGCAGGGATGTGTGCCCTCCCCAAAACCGGGGTTCGGAGCGTGCCAAGCCCCGGTGCTGCCGGGGAGGCGGCAGAAGAGCTTACCGGTAGGCTGGAAGCAAAGCCAAGCCCTCTGGAGGGCGCGTTTCTCCATGTCCTGTGCCACCGTGATTGATTGTCCTTACACCCTGGTGTTTTCCTCTGCTCTCTCCCTCGACATCTGCGGATCAGCGAGCTGATGCTGAAGGATGGGTTCAGGTACGGGGCGGGGGGAGCGGGACACCCCCTTCCCGCCTTCTCTGATCAAAGCTCTCCCCCGGATTTGACAACCAAGGGCAAGTGGGGACGGCGCTGGAGGCGTCTGCTTGACCCTGGGTGTTGAACTAGGGCAGAGAGGTTGGTGTGGCGAGCGTGCTGGCCTCAGAGAGCCGCTCTCAGGTGCGCTCGGGCTCCAAAGGACGTCGTATGCTTTCCTAGTTCTTTTTTTTATTATTATTATTTTATTCCCTTTATTTTTCCGAGGGCCTCCCCTGGGAGCTGGAAGTGGTTTAATCGACTCTACAAAGAAAGCACACGAGGGTAAATAAGGCTTTCTTGTGGAGTTTAATGCAAGCTGCCTTTCAGTTCCAGTCTATTTTCACCAGCTGTTTACAAAATGCCCTTTGCTACTGAAATCAGCTTTCAGAAAAGCAGCAGAGTTTCAGTGGAGGATTTTGCAAAAAGGAAGCCTGAGTTTTGCCGTGTGCTTTTGTTTTTTCCTTTTTTTTTTCCTCTGCTGCACCTTGAGAAAGCAGCCAATTATAGTGTGATATAAAGAAACTCGAATGGCAGCTAAAACACTTGACAGGCTGATCAAAACAAGGCTGGGAACTTACTCTCAACCTGCTGCAGACATATTTAGCCTTGAGTGATACTGGCAAGGGTTCAAGAGAAACCGCAGCAGCATGCCCGATGTGTGTTTGGTTTCTAATCACTAACACTTCATTATACAAAATAAATACTTTATTATTACAGTGTTTATTAAATTACATAATTTGCGGCATGCCTTAAAGTCGATGGATGCAGATGCCAGTCTGGTTTTGGTAGTGGTAATAATGCTGCTTTTTTCTTAATATTTTTTTTTTCTCCTTAGTTGGAAGATGTTTCAAGCCCCAGACCAAGGCTTGCTTGTCATTCCCTGCAGTGCAGTGTTAGGAGGTGACATCTTTCAGACCCTTCTGTCTGCTTTTTTCGCTAGCTGTCCAAGGGAAGGTTAAAAATCAAGACTGTGGAGTAACCCCAGTGTCCTGACCAACAACCACTCTCTTACTAAAACAGCATCTGATGTCCGCGGCTGCACGCGAGCGATCGCTGAGGCCACGAGGGCTCATTAAAGTGGATTGAGATGCCTCAAGCGTGAAAGTTGCTGCATAAAATCAGATTCTTTTTATTAAATGAGGACATCCATTACTTCGTGCTTGCTACTGTACACGTTATAATTCACTTTGCAGCGCCATCTGTTAAGACTGTCTTGCTTAAGCTTTTTTGCGGCATCTTTTTAGTGTAAGTTATTAAAAAATATGGCTGCGCCTATTAATCATTTATTAATAAAGGGTTTATAAATGGACCCTTAATTTCCAGCATTACAGTCCACTTGTGTGTGATATATATTAAGTACTGTGGTGCTTTTTTTTCCCCCCAAGGGTGAGTACTAGGAGGGCAGAAACCTCCTTTGTAGCGAAGAGCAAGCCTCAGCCTCAGCATCCCGGTAGGATCTTCCCATCCTAACTTGCTTCCGAGCTGACTTGACTTCTCCGGCTGCGCTGTTCCAGTTTCCAGCACTTCTCAGCTGCTCCTTTTTTCTTAATGCAGGAGGAGTTTTAAAGACTCATACAGGTTTTTTTGCAGATTGGCGGCCTGAGAAGAGGTTAGTGCAAGGTGAGCCTTCTCCTCACTGGGTGTCACAGAAGACCCATGACCAAGTGCTCTCTGAGGCGTCGGGGTTTGCATCAAGCCAGAAGGTCCAATTCCCCAGCGACTCCCTCTCTGTCTCCCTTCCCTGCATCGATTCAGTGACGGCCGCTACGGCTGAGCACAGCCCGTGCCGTGACTGTTACGCGGTGGAAATGTCAGCGAGTCTGGAGAGACAGGCCCAGGGGAAGCTGAGAGTGTCCTCCGTGCTGGCACTTTTGCCGTGATGGTCGTGTGTCAGTGTCCCCGTTTCACACCTGGACCTGGCACCCAACAGGTCACCGTTTGTTTTGCAGCATCCTCTGCTGAGGTTTTGGGCCAAAATGGATCCGCTCTGGGTTTGAACAGGCGGAACAGGCTTGTCTTTGCCATGAACCACCTCTGATCTTGCCTTGAGGGAAAGATGTTCTAATAGCAGAAGGCTCCCTGTCAGCTCTTCACGCTGATAAACCGAGAGCGGATCCCAGGAGGTCTTTCAGTCTTACGTGTGGAGGGGGAAACAACGTATTCAAAAACACGAGGGGGGAAAAGAACTCGCTCTGATGAGTGATGGGGGAAGCTTACAGAAGTCTCTCCCTCTTGGTGTGACCTACTCGTGGCGTGTG